ATTTAATTATTTATTAAATTATGAATAAAATATGAGTTTTGATTTTTTCCAATTATTTTTGATCCATACTGTATATTGAAAATTTTACATATTTTATAGCTTTATTAATATTATTTATAAAATATTTTTTTTTGAAAATGTATAATTTGTTAAATATAATAATAAATTTATTTTTGCAAATGTTAATTTTTAATTTTATAAAAATATATAAAACCGAATAATTTTATTGAATTTTATAACAATATTTAAAATAAATTATTATAATATAAAATTATCAATTATTTTTATACTAATTTTAATATAAATTCATTAACATTTATGAATATTGTAATTTTCATTGCTATGTGTTGTAATTTTCATTGCAAATATTTATTAGCTTTGCTAAATTAATAAAAAAAACTTATGGATAAAAATAAGCTTATGTAATAAATTGGTCTGATAAACTTCAATCAGAAAATATATAGCAGAGATTAAAAAAATTAATTTATTGCAAGACAAAAAAATCAATCAAATTCAAAGAACTGGATGATCTTAAAAAAACTTGTTTGAATTGTTATTAGCTAATTATTGGCATGTTCAAATCAAGTAAAGATATGTATAAAGCCAAGAGGACCTAAAAAATATCAAAACATGTATAATTTTTTTTTAAAAAAATAAATTTTGCTTTAATAAAACAAGCTAATGTTTGTGAATTTTTTAATACAAGATATGGATTTCGTGTGAGTGGATCAAACCGTACAAAATTTTAGTATGTTGTACTGTATCATGGTATTTTTTAAATACGTATATAATAAAATTTTGTATTACATTTACTTACTTGTTTTTGAGCAATTAACGCTCCTTATGTTTTAGGTAATACTGTAACATAGGCTGTGAAACAAAAAACCTATAAAAAATGTTGTTTTTAACATATAAACAGATAGGCATGGTGACTTTTGTCACCGCTTTACCATTTTGCGTTACATCGTAAATGACTTTAAAAGAAATAATATTACGCTTTGGCAAAGTCTTTTGTACTGTGTCCATTTTTGAAAGACAGCAATTTCGCTTCTGGCGAGTGTGATATAATGTCACACCAATACCACCACTACATTCCAAGATTCCTTTTACGCAATTTTGCTATTGACAAGTATGAGAGGATATTTTATGAAGTCAATATAGCACAGCAGCAATATGAAAGTCGCAAAAAGGCCGAACTTCTTCAAATTTACGATAGAAAGAAAGATAAACTGGGAATTTCTTTAATCGCTAACACTTATGGATACTGGGATATGTACAAAGATCTTAATAATACAGACGTGATGCACGTAGAAGAGAAGCTTTCTAAACTTGAAGGGAGTGTAGCAATAACGATAAAAAAAATTTTGAAAGCATCTCAAGAGAAAAATAAGGTCGTTTTGCTCAGGAAATATCTAGAGGATCTACGCAAGTTTCTTTTTGTTATGAATTATCGAAATAATCATCGATGGTTTCAGTTTACTGGCGATAACTTTGACTTTATCACTAGGTCGATGGTAAACGATTTTATGCAGCAGCAAAATCTACAAAGGCCTGAAGAAGTGTGGTTACAAAACATCCGCGAAATATTAGATACACCTCATTGGGAAGTCAAAGATAATATGAAAATTTTTAAAATTGATAGAGACGACTACAATCAGCGCATGGTCGAATGTTTTCTTATTATTTGGCAAGCTGGAGAAAATGACGAGTTTATAGTAACTAGCAATGGATTTGGAATCTTCGAAGGAGTATCTGGAAATATGTTTGGATCACCATTTGGGTTTGCTTACCATACGTTTTACGTACTTTCTCCAAAATTGGTGTTAGTCCTTTGCCCTTCACATTTTCGAAAAGAAGTCGGAGAAACTGAATTGTTATACAAATGTTTTGGTGGTCAACGCTCGATATTTGAAAACGTCCCTCACCCTGCAGCAATTCCGAAACATGTTGGTCGCGTGAAACCTACTTCTTTTAGTGAATCAAGTAATAAACCGAAATTAAACATAACCGATCCAATTGATTTAAAATCTCATTTATTTGACGCGGTCCTAAAATCAAATGGCATCGAAACACGGTGGAACGATGAATTTACTTTTTCTTTCGTCAAAATCGATTCAGCTACTGTTCACCTTGTAAACATCATCTTGCTCAACGAGGTTGGACCAGATCTAGTTTTGACTTTTTTATCCCATCCAAACCTTTACAAGACAATTGTCAAATACAACAAACACTATAAAGACAGCGTAAAAAAAGACTTCACGAATTTGAAAAAGAAGTTGAGAACAGAATTAAACAGAACTCACAAGGATGACTTGCATCTTCGGAGAAAAATTCCAGAAAATAGCACATTTACTTGGAATTTTCGGGAGATTAATTAGAAACCATTATAATGACCAATAAGATGTAGTATATGTTATTTAATCATATATAAAGGGTTCGCATAATGGCTTCCTTTTGTGTATTTCCATTTATATATTAATGATTATATTTTATATACAGTATTTGAAATTTGAAATGATAGAAGATTACTTATAAATATTTGAATTATTTGGTTATTACTAACGCAGGAAATGTCGGATAAATAAATACAAGTTAACTTTTGATAATTGCCCCGTCATGCAATTCCCAAGATCAATTAATTAATTTATTTATGATATTTTGTTACGGTTTTTGACGCCACCTGATTTACGATATGTTGAATTTGAATAGCTTTCAATCCAGAAATGGTATTTACACTATATGGAATATAATTAATTTTATCTATACCTACTCTTCCTTTACCAATAGCTTAAGATTTTTTCGAGCTCTTTCAGTTTTCTTACGCAAATTTACATCTGTAATAATAAGTGGAAAAGGTTTCATTCAATATGTATTTTTGATATTACTGTATTTCAAATTCAAAAGAATAATAATACCAACATGAAATATATTTCTGACCTGATTTACTTGCTTTATCAAATAAACCCGATAAACTTTGTATTGAGCCCTGAATAATTTCCCCTCAACAAGACTTACTGTTATTCAAAGATATAGTTTATTTTGGGGGAAACTATATTTTGTGTTTAATTACAGCCCACTTCTTGTATCAAAACCTTTTACGATTTGATTGTCGTATTCATTGCTTTTCGCATCATATAATGAAGGGGTATCATCTTTTCGAAGATTGTTAAATGGTGTAATTTGCCATGGAATGTTAGTAGAGTAATTAAAATTAAATTGACCTATTCCGGAGTATAAGATAAATATTAGAAAATAATAGAGAAAATAATGAACATTAAGATATAGTTTTAAATAACATGACTATTAAATAGCTTAAGTACAGTATTATAAAAAATATGAAAATCTAAAGAATATATTGAATTTAATAAAATCAATATAATTTAAAAAAAAGATAAATCATAACGATGATAATATAATATAATCAAATTTTTACTTTTTTTTCTTATTAATTTTAAAAATAAAAAGTATTAAAACAAAAATATATGGGTCACTCGGATCGCCACGGATCACGTGAAGTGGCGCGATTTATCAGACCCTGCATCAGGAAGCTTAATGGGGATTTGCAGTATACATGTTGCTGAAATTCGTAGATCCTTGACACAATTGACATAATTATTTGATGCAATTAATTGAGTCATTATTAAAACATATAAATAATTGAGTCATGATGCAATTATTTTTGAGGAT